GATTTTTCTGGGATGGGATTTTTCTGGGATGGGATTTTTCTGGGATGGGATTTTTCCTGCTGCAGGTGAAGGGTCCCAAAGGTGCGATCCCGAAATTCCTTCATGCGGAAGCTGAGCAGGGGGATCCTGCCAATTCCAGAGGTTTTTTTTTGTTTTTTTTTCCCCAAATTCCTCTTCCCCTTAAGGAATTCCTCAGCTCATCCAACACTACAGCCCCAATTCCTCGCGGCGGGAAAATCCAAGGAAAACGGAATTCCTGGCAGAGAGGATCCGAATTTGATCCTGGGAATTTCCTTCCCCACCCATGGGAGCTGCAGATCCCTAATTCCCAAATTAGGGAAGGCTCAGAAATCCAGGGAAATCAGGAACTTTTTGGGATTGGAAATTCCTCCCCAAGGAGAGCAGGAGTTTTCCAAGGCCAGAATTCCTATCCAAGGAAATCAGGAACTTTTTGGGATTGGAAATCCCAATCCAGGGAAAGTGGAGATTCCCAAGGTCAGAATTCCTATCCAAGGAAATCAGGAAATTTTTGGGATTGGGAATTCCTGTCCATGGAAATCAGGAGCTTCCCAAGGTCAGAAACCCTATCCAGGGAATTCAGGAATTTTTTGGGATTGGGAATCCCAATCCAGGAGAAGTGGGAGCTTCCCAAGGTCAGAAATCCCTGTCCAAGGAAATCAGGAACTTTTTGGGATTGGGAATTCCTGTCCTGGGAATTCAGGAATTTTTTGGGATTGGGAATCCCTATCCAGGGGAAGTGGAGATTCCCAAGGTCAGAAATCTGGATTGAAGGAAATCCGGAGTTCCTTGGGATTGGGAATCCCTATCCAGGGAAATGGGGAACTTTTTGGGATTGGGAATCCTCCTCCAGGAAAAGTGGGAGCTTCCCAAGGTCAGAATCCATATCCAAGGAAATCAGGGGTTCCTTGGGATTGGGAACGCGTGTCCAGGGAAATCGGGGACGCTTTGGGATTGGGAATGTCTATCCAGAGATATCAGGACCGTTTTGGGATCGGGAATCCCTCCAGAGGGAAAAAACGGGATCTCCTTGGGGGTTGGGAAATCCCAAAGCAGAGGAGCCAGGAGCTTCCCAGGCTCCTTTTCCCCGGAGCGATCCCACATTCTCCCCTCCTCTTTTTCCCGGTTTTCCTTGGATTTCTCCCCGAGTTCCCTCCTTTTTCCCCCCCCCGCTGTACATTTCGGACGAGGCGTTCATCCCAAATAAACTTTTTTTGGAAAGGGAGCGGAGTTTTCCTTGGAAAACCGCGGGGTCTCCGTCAATCGGCCCCTCCCAGCGATCCCAGTCATTCCCAGTTTGGAGGCTCGGCTGGCTCTGCTTGGGAATTTCCCTCCTGGAAAAGCTCCCAGAGGATTTCCCAGCGTTTTGATTCCCGGTAAAAAGAACCCAAAAGGGATTTTCTCCTTTTTTTTTTCGTTTTTTTGTTTTTTTGTTTCCCCTTTTAAGTGGGAATTCCCCCAAAAGCTGCTCCGGCAGCTCCACGTCCATTCCCAGCTCATGGATGTCATCCCTGATCCGAATCTTTGGGATTTCCTCCTTCCTGCTTTTCCTTGGATGCAGAGCCCGCCCTGCCTGCGTTGGCAGGCTCAGCACCTCACTCCCATCCCTCTTCCCAATCCCAATCCCATTTAATGCCATTCCCAATCCCAATCCTATTCCCATTCTCATTCCCAATCCTGTTCCCAATCCCAGTCTCATTCTCATTTCCGTTCCCAATCCCATTCCCACCCCCAGTTCCAATCCCAATCCCATTCCCATTCCCAATCCCAATCCTGTTCCCAATCCCAGTCTCATTCTCAATTCCGTTCCCAATCCCATTATCCAATCCCAATGCCATTCCCAATGCCATTCCCAATCCCAATCCTATTCCTGTTCCCATTCCCATTCCCAGTCCAATTCCCCATCCTGCCCCACTGCACTCTCCCATTCCCACCCTCCCATCCTGCCCCATTCCCATCCCCTCACTCCCGATCCCATCCAGCCATTCCCACCCCATTCCCTCTCCCCCATTCCCATTCCCACCCCATTCCCTCTCCCCCATTCCCATTCCCACCCCATTCCCTCTCCCCCATTCCCATTCCCACCCCATTCCCACCCCATTTTGTCTTCCCCATTCCCTGTCTCCCATCCCACCCCTTCCCCATTCCCATCCCACCCCATTCCCACTCCCACTCCCTCACTCCCATCCCGATTCCCACCCCATTCCCTGTCTCCCCCACTCCAACCCCATTCCTACTCCCACCCTATTCCCGTTTTCCATTCCATTCCCATTCCCATCCCCACTCCCACCCCATTCCCACACTCTCATTCCCATCCCATTCTTGCTCCCCCATTCCCACACTCCCACCCCATTCCCATCCCACCCCATTCCCTGTCTCCCACCCCATTCCCATTCCCATCCCCATTCCCATTCCCATTCCCATTCCCATTGTCATTCCCATTGTCATTCCCATCCCCATCCCCATTCCCATTCTGACTGACATCCCATTCCCATCCCACCCTTTTCCCTCTGCCCCATTCCCATTCCCACCCCATCCCCATCCCCATCCCCACCCCATTCCCACTCCCACCCTATTCCCATTCCCATTCCATTCCCACTCCACTGGACCAGTCCAACCATTTTATTGCCGAACCTCAAACCCCCAAATCCCCCAATCCCCCCCAATCCCCCAATCCCCAAATCCCCCCAATCCCCCAACCCCCCCAAATCCCCCAATCCCCAATCCCCCGGTGTGCCGTAGGCTCAGAATCGGTGCGCGTAGAAGACGCGGGCGTTGGCAGCGCGGTGCAGCGGCAGCGCCGCGCCCGCCCCGCGCGCTGCCAGCCGCGCCGCGCCCAGCGCCGCGGGGCGCTGCAGCCGCAGCAGGCTGAACCCCGAGAACGCCGCCGGCGCCGCCGGCCGCGCCCGCTCCAGCGCCGCCACGAAGCCTGCGGCGGCCGCCGCGCGTCGGAACGGGGACACGGACGGAGCGGGAACGGGGACAAACCAAAAATGGGGACAAACCAAGGATGGGGATGGCCCAAGGATGGGGACAAACCAAAAATGGGGCAACCCAAGAATGGAGCCAACCCAAAAATGGGGACAACCCAAGGATGGGGACAGCCCGAGAACGGGGACAACCCAAAACCGGGGACAACCCAAGGATGGGGACAACCCAAGGATGGGGACAAACCAAAAATGGGGACAGCCCAAGGATGGGGACAAACCAAGGATGGGGACAACCTGAGAACGGGGACAACCCAAAAATGGGGACAACCCAAAAATGGGGACAGCCCAAGGATGGGGACAGCCCAAAAATGGGGACAACCCAAAAATGGGGACAGCCCAAGGATGGGGACAAACCAAGGATGGGGACAACCCGAGAACGGGGACAACCCAAAAACGGGGACAACCCAAGGATGGGGACAACCCAAAAATGGAGCCAACCCAAGGATGGAGCCAACCCAAGAACAAGGCTACTCCAAAAATGGAACCACCCCAAAAATGGAGCCACCCCAAGAACGGGACCAACCCAAGAATGGGACCACCCCAAAATTGGGACCTCCCTGAAAAAAGGACCAACCCAAAGGACGGGACCACCCCAAAAATGGAGCCACCCCAAGAACAGAGGAGCAAAAATGGAGCCACCCCAAAAATGGAGCCACCCCAAAAATGGAGCCACCCCAAAAATGCGGCCATCCCAAGAACAGGGCCACCCCAAGAACGGGACCACCCCAAGAACGGGACCACCCCAAAACCAGAGCCACCCCAAAATCGGGCCCACCCCGTTGCGCTCACCGGGGCGCAGGTGCTCCCAGCTGTTCCACACCGAGCCCACGCACACGATGGGCAGCCCCAGCTCGCCCGCAAAGAGGCTCTGCGGGCGGGGAAACTGAGGCCACCGCCGCGCGGGGACACCGGCGGGGACAGTGGCACCGCCATGGGGGTGGGGAAACTGAGGCCACCGCCACGCGGGGACACCGGTGAGGATGGTGGCACCACCGCGGTGTGGGGACACTAGCAGGGATGGTGGTGCCACCACAGCGTGGGGAAACTGAGGCCACCACCGGCGTGGGGACACCGGCGGGGATGGTGGCATGGCCACAGCGTGGGGACACCAGTGGGACGGTGGCACCACCGTGGCATGGGGACACCCAGCAGGAACGGTGGCACCACCACAGCGTGGGGACACCAGCAGGGTACGGTGGTGGCACCACAGGGATGGGGACACCCGGCAGGACAGGGTGGTGGCATCACGGTGGTGGGGACACTCAGCAGGGTATGATGGTGGCACCGCGGGGGTGGGGACACCTGGTGGGACAGGGTGGTGGCACTGCGGGGATGGGGACACCCAGCAGGACACGGTGGTGGCACCACGGGGATGGCAGGACACTTGGCAGGACACGGTGGTGGCACCGCGGGGATGGCAGGACATTTGGCAGGACACGGTGGTGGCACCGTGGGGGTGGCAGGACAGGATGGTGGCACCACAGTGGTGGGGACACCCGGCAGGACATGGTGGTGGCACCGTGGGGATGGCAGGATAGGGTGGTGGCACTGCAGGGCTGGGGACACCTGGTGGGACAGGGTGGTGGCACCGCGGGGATGGGGACACTGGGCAGGACAGGGTGGTGGCACCGCAGGGCTGGGGACACCTGGTGGGACAGGGTGGTGGCACCGCGGGGATGGCAGGACAGGGTGGTGGCACCGCGGGGATGGGGACACCGGGCAGGACAGGGTGGTGGCACCGCGGGGATGGGGACATTGGGCAGGACAGGGTGTGGCCTCACCTGGTGGATTTTGGGCAGCACGGCCACCACGTGGCGCGCCAGCTGCTCGCCCGCCTCGGTGAAGATGTGGCAGCAGAGCGGGTCACCCAGCTGGGCACCTGCGGGGACGTGGGACACTCCGCTGTGTCCCCAAGGGTGGCACCTGGGTGTCCCCACCCCGAGGAGGGCAGAGGGCGAGAGGGGCAGAGAGCGGGGAGTGGCAGCGGGAGGGACAAGGACAGGGACAAGGGGACAGGGACAATGGGGACAAGGGGACAGGGACAATGGGGACAAGGGGACAGGGACAATGGGGATGGGGACAAACAAGGGACAGGGACAGGGGAACAGGGACAAACAGGGATAAGGGGGGTAGGGACAAGGGGACAAGGACAAGCGGGACAGGGACAATGGGGACAAGGGGACAGGGACAAGAGGACAGGGATAAACAGGGACAGGGATGACAATGGGGACAGGGACAATGGGGACAAGAGGACATGGGGACAAGAGGACAGGGACAAACAGGGACAAGGGGGACAGGGACAATGGAGACAAGGACAAGGGGACAGGGACAAGGGGACAGGGACAATGAGTACAGGGACAATGGGGACAAGGGGGATAGGGATGACAAGGGGGACACGGACAATGGGGACGGGAACAACGGAACAGGGACAAGGGGGACAGGACAGGGGGACAGGGACAATGGGAACAGTGGCAAGGGGACAGGGGACAGTGACAAGGGGACAGGGGACAGTGACAAGGGGACAGGGGACAGGGACAAGGGGCCAGGGTCCCTACCCTGGGCCAGCTCCTGGCAGAACCCCGCGAATTTGCCCTTCTCGAAGGTGCGGTAGAGGTGGGGCAGGAGCCCCATCCTGTCCGAGATCTGGGGGGGCAGGGCTCAGCTCCGGGACCCCCCAGCACCCCGAGATTCCCCAAAACATGGCCTGAGACACCCCCGGACCCCAAAACACACCCTGAGACACCCCCGGACCCCAAAACATGGACCTGAGACAGCCCGGACCCCAAAACATGGACCTGAGACAGCCAGGACCCCAAAACATGGACCTGAGACAGCCCCAGACCCCAAAACACACCCTGAGACACCCCTGGACCCCAAAACATGGACCTGAGACACCCCTGGACCCCAAAACATGGACCTGAGACAGCCTGGACCCCAAAACACACCCTGAGACAGCCTGGACCCCAAAACATGGACCTGAGACACCCCCGGACCCCAAAACACACCCTGAGACACCCCCAGACCCCAAAACATGGACCTGAGACAGCCCGGACCCCAAAACCCATCCCAAACTCCCCCCAAGACCCTAAGAACCATACCAGATCCACCAAAACCCATCCCAAATCCCTTCCAGGACTCCAAAACCCATCCCAAATCCCACCCAAGAGCCCAAATCCCACCCAAGACCCCAAATCCCACCCAAGAACCCCAAAGCCCACCCAAGAACCCCAAAACCCATCCCAAACCACCCCAGGACCCCAAATCCCACTCCAATCCCCCCAAGACAGCCAATACCCACCCCAAAGCCTTTCTAGGACCTTGAGACCCATCCCAAACCCCCTCAAGACCCCAAACCCTACCCAAAAACCCCAAAACCCACCCCAAAACCCAACCCAAACTCCCCCAAGACCTCAAAACCCATCCCAAACCCCCCAAGACCCCAAAATCCATCCCAAACCACCCCAGGACCCCAAATCCCACTCCAATCCCCCCAAGACACCCAATACCCACCCCAAAGCCCTTCTAGGACCTTGAGACCCATCCCAAACCCCCTCAAGACCCCAAACCCCACCCAAAAACCCCAAAACCCACCCCAAAACCCAACCCAAACTCCCCCAAGACCTCAAAATCCATCCCAAACCACCCAAGACCCCAAAATCCATCCCAAACCACCCCAGGACCCCAAAAGCCCTCTAGAACCCTAATACCCATCCCAAATCCATTCCAGGACCCCAAAACCCATCCCAAACCCCACCCAAGACCCTGAGAACCATCCCAGATCCCCCAAAACCCATCCCAAACCCCCCCAAGACCCCAACACCCATCCCAAACCACCCAAGACTCCAAAACCCCTCTAGAACCCTGATACCCATCCCAAATCCCTTCCAGCACCCCAAACCCCACCCAAGAACCCCAAAGCCCACCCAAGACCCCAAATCCCACCCAAGAACCCCAAAGCCCACCCAAGACCCCAAATCCCACCCCAAAGGCCACCCCAAAGGCCACCCCAAAGGCCACCCCAAAGGCCCGGCACCTGGAAGTAGTCGAGCATGGCCTGGCGGACAAAGGCGACGTCGTGGGGCGGCGCCCGCAGGTTGTCCTGGGAGTCGAACACCGTTTTTACGGCCTGGTGCGCGATCCAGAACGCTGGGAACGACGGGAATGGGGTCGGGAATGGGGTCGGTTATGGGTCAGTTATGGGGTCGCTGTGGGTCAGTTATGGGGTCGGTTATGGGTCAGTTATGGGGTCGCTGTGGGGTCAGTTATGGGGTCGCTGTGGGTCAGTTATGGGGTCGGTTATGGGTCAGTTATGGGGTCGCTGTGGGGTCGCTGTGGGTCAGTTATGGGGTCGCTGTGGGGTCGCTGTGGGTCAGCTATGGGGTCGCTGTGGGTCAGTTATGGAGTCACTATGGGGTCGCTGTGGGTCGCTGTGGGTCAGTTATGGGGTCGCTATGGGTCACTATGGGGTCGCTGTGGGTCACTATGGGGTCGCTGTGGGTCAGTTATGGGGTTGGTTATGGGTCACTATGGGGTCGGTTATGGGTCAGTTATGGGGTCGCTGTGGGTCAGTTATGGGGTCGGTTATGGGTCAGCAATGGGGTCGCTGTGGGTCACTATGGGGTCGCTGTGGGTCGCTGTGGGTCAGTTATGGGGTCACTGTGGGTCGCTGTGGGTCGCTGTGGGTCGCTGTGGGTGCGGCTCACCCGAGCCCTCGTCCCCCATCATGTGTCCCCAGCCGCCGCAGCCGCTCTCGGAGCCGTCGGGGTTGATGAGTTTGCAGTTGGAGCCCGTGCCCGAGATCAGCACGATGCCACCTGCGCGGGGACACCCGTGGGGCTGGCACGGTGACACCCGCACGGTGACACCCGCGGGGCTGGCACTGGCACAGTGACACCTGCACAGTGACACCCGCGGGGCTGGCACAGGCACGGTGACACCCGCGGGGTTGGCATGGGCACGGTGACACCCGCACAGTGACACCCGCACGGTGACACTGGCGAGGCTGGCACTGGCACGGTGACACCCGCAGGGTTGGCATGGGCACGGTGACACCCGCACAGTGACACCCGCGGGGCTGGCACGGGCATGGTGACACCCGCACGGTGACACTGGCGAGGCTGGCACGGGCATGGTGACACCACGGGGTTGGCATGGGCACGGTGACACCCGCACAGTGACACCCATGGGGCTGGCACCGGCACGGTGACACCCGCAGGGCTGGCACTGGCACGGTGACACCCGCACGGTGACACCCATGGGGCTGGCACTGGCACGGTGACACCCGCGGGGTTGGCATGGGCACGGTGACACCCGCACGGTG